TAGGGCTTCTCCCTGTGGATTCCTCCTTGGGGTGACCTGAGACAGCTCCTGGCCCTGCTGTCATCTATACAAAGTGGCAGTATCGGGGCGGGGGCCATTCAAGGCGGGGGCCCCAGGGATCCTGGGGACGCACTGTGCTTCTCCATGGGCCGCGCACAGAAAGCCCAGAGGGGCCCGGGGAAGCTGCGTCACAGCTGCTCTGGGGCTCTTCCTCCCTGACCCTCTCCTCTCGGCCCCCGCTCTGAGTGGCCCCTCACCTCATAGCTCCTGGGGACCCTCCCCACCTCCACACCCTGTGGTCTGGGCTGGAGCCAGGTGTCCTGCACCATCCCAAGCTCAGAGAACACCCAGGTGCAATGTCAGAATCCCAGGCGGGTGCTGGGTGGCGGCCTGGTCTTGGCCACCGTGCTTCCAGGTGAGGGGCTGGGCAGTTCGCTGGCCAAGGACCTCAGCCCCCAGGACTAGTGTCTCCTTGGATGCCAGGGGCCCCGTCCCGATGCAGGAGGCTCTGACCCTCCTAAGAGAGCTGCTCACTGCTGTACCCACCTGTGGTCACGCCTGAGAAGGACAGGAACTCCCTGTGGACAGGTCCAGCACGGGCACTGCCTCCCGGCTGCACCCTCGTGTTATAGCGGCATTTGAGCTTTCCCAGCAGCCCATTGGCCAGCAGCTGGGCAGCCGGGGCAAGGGGGGCAGGGTGTGCCCAGGCAGTCCCCTGACCAAGTATAGGAATGGCCAGGGGAGGAGGCGAAGGCAGTGAGGACAAGGAGACGTGCCTGAGAAGGAGACAGGGTCTCGCCTGCCCCAGGAAGGTGTCAGCTGCTATTTTTGCCGCCCTGGGCAGGCACATTCTTGACGGGCTGTGGAGGGAGGAGGAAGGAGCTTGGTGGCCCCAGGACAGGGCAGAGGGCTATCTCTGGGCCAGACTAGTGTGGGGTCCTCAGAGCTGGGGCCCCAATTCCCCCAGCCCCCTCCCCTTTGATGGACACACTGTGTGGGGTGTGCCCTTGGCCCATCCAGGGGTCTGCATCCAGGGATCATTACCCCAGGGTGGCACCTGGCCCCAGCCCCACCTCCTCCATAGGGGACCAGCAAGCCCCCCACATCTGAGTGCCTGAAAGGCCAGACTGCTCCCTTGAGTGGACGCTACTGGGGCATGCAGAATACACAAGAGAAGTTGTGTCCTGAGCCTGGAGTGGGGGCTCCTGTCCATGGGGTCTCCTCCCCTGATCCTGGAGGGTCTCCTGTCCATGGGGTCTCCTCCCCTGATCCTGGAGGGTCTCCTGTCCATGGGGCCTCCTCCCCTGATCCTGGAGGGGCTCCTGTCCATGGGGTCTCCTCCCCAGAGCCTGGGGTGGGGGCTCCTGTCCATGGGGTCTCCTCCCCTGATCCTGGAGGGGCTCCTGCCCATGGGGTCTCCTCCCCTGATCCTGGAGGGGCTACTGTCCATGGGGTCTCCTCCCCTGAGCTGGAGGGGCTCCTGTCCATGGGGTCTCCTCACCTGAGCCTGGGGTGGGAGCTCTTGTCCATGGGGTCTCCTCCCCTGATCCTGGAGGGGCTCCTGTCCATAGGGTCTCCTCCCCTGAGCTGGAGGGGATCCTGTCCATGGGGTCTCCTCCCCTGAGCTGGAGGGGCTCCTGTCCATGGGGTCTCCTCCCCTGAGCCTGGGGTGGGGGCTCCTGTCCATGGGGTCTCCTCCCCTGATCCTGGAGGGGCTCCTGTCCATGGGGTCTCCTCCCCTGATCCTGGAGGGGCTCCTGTCCATGGGGTCTCCTCCCCTGATCCTGGGGTGGGGACTCCTGTCCATGGTGCCTCCTCCAGTCATTGCTTCCTCCCTAGGGGGGGTCACTCCTCTGCAGTTGGCCTGGGGACTCTCTATTCGGGGGTCTAGACCCTGGGGGCGCTCTCTCTCCCCAGGGGCCCCATGCAGTGTTTGGCTCTGAGCTGACGGGCCCATGTGCCCGTGGAGGCTGACCTTGCTTTCCTTGGGACTCCAGGGGGCACCATCCAACCAACAGACACACCTCGTGGGCTCCCACAGCCCCCATGCTTGCCAGCAAGGCCACGTGCCCCTGTGGTCCTGCCTCTGGGGTTAGGGAAACTGAGGTCCCAGGTGCCAGGAGGCATCTTGACTGCTGTCCCATGCCTCTGCAGCCCAGGACTGTCACGACCGAGGGGCCTGTAGAGTTGCCCACCCAGGGTGGAAGTTGCTGTCAAGGGTGGACCAGAGTCCAGACAGTGTGAGCCTCAGAAGAGGCAGGCAGGCCCCTGCCCTCCAGAGTCCCAAGGCTAGGGACATGGGGATGGCCTGGAAGGAGCCCCAGACCCATAGCTTCTGGCCCTGTGCCCTGAGGAGGAGGAGGAGGAGGAGGCTGTGGACACTTCACCAGTCCTACCTGTGGGAGCCAAGGCCATAGAGGCTGGCAGCAGGCAGAGATATGCCTGGGGTCACCAAGCAAGGGAAAGCAGCCCCTCAGGCTGCTGGCTCACAGGACGGGCAGCTGCCCACCCGCCCTGAGTGCCTGGCCCTGGAATCCTCTGGAGCTGCTGGGATCACCCCTGCCTCCCAGTCAGAACCTGCGCTTCTCCCTCTACCTGTCCAGGTCATCAGACAGAGCCCGGACCCCTGGGCCACCCTGGCCAGCTCTCCATTTCTGTGAGGCTGGGAGCTGGGCCTGGGGACCACCTTCCCGTGGTGGGCTGGCTTCCCCTCCAGGCTCTGCCAACTGGCCGCAGCACCGCTCTCAAGGGCACACATGAAAAGCAGGAGGATTTCATTGTTCTCCAGCCTTGCTTCCCAGGAAGTCCCGTGGCCACCAGCCCTGGCCAGGCTGGGGTGGGCATCCTCAGGAGCTGTGCCTGCAGGCGGTCAAGCCAGGGGTTCTGCAGTGGCCCTGCTCAGCCAGCAGAGGACGGTGGCTGCCCGCTTAGTGAGACTCAGCCTTTGGCAGGTGCTTTCCCGTGAGGTCAGAGGGGCAGGCAGGTCCTATTTTGGGTGATGGCCACCTCCTCCTCAGGCACCAGGCCCAGGGTACAGCAGGACAGCGTAGAGTGGGCACTGCTGGATGGACAGCTGGTCGCTGAGGGTCTACCACAGGTAATCCTTCCAGGTCCCACCTGGCCTCCCCTGGGGAGTAGGGTGGGGGACTAGAGACTTGTGTGGAGGCCAGGAAGAAGGGGGTGGACCAGCTTTGTTGGGTGGGGGACTGATTTCCACACCAGAGGCTGAGGGCCAAAAGCGCTGGACCTGAGCTGCAGGCCACAGGGGACTGTAAAGCTGGCCAATGCCAAGCTGAGCCCAGGGAGAGGAGGCCTTCTGGGTACCTTGGCTCCGGAGGCCTCCTCCAGTGGACCCAGTAAGGCAGCTGGGCAGAGGTCTCTGATGGGGTCCCAGCCCGCGGTGCCTGTGGCTGGGAGTGGAGGAGCGCACGGACCCTGTGCCCTGCCTTGTGCCCTGGGCTGACCCGCCATAGGCAGAGCCTGCCAGGCTCTGGTCAGGAGCTGCTGACAGGCCCTGGGACACAGCCGCTCCAACCCCGACCGCTGGCGCCCAGGCCTGCGCGCTTCTCCCGGGTGCAGGTGCCCTGATTGGCTGTGTGGCTCTCGGGGCGGCTCCTCTCTTGGGGCCGCAGCAGGTGCCTGGAGGGGGGCAGTGGACTGCCAAGGGCTCCCAGGCAGGCAGGATGAAGAAGGGCAGTGCTCCAGCATCCCTGCCCAGGTGCCTTCTGGGCAGTGGCCCCTTGGCCCTGGGCCTGAGCAGTGGCAACCGTGGGGTGGATCACACAGTGAGCAGGGCTGAGGCAAAGGGGCCCAGACGCTGGATCCGCAACCCTGAGGCTAAGCCAAGGGGTCGGCCGGTCAGGGGAGCATGGCAGCTGTGACCCTTCTGCCTCCAGTGCCTGGTCCTCTGCTCATGTCCAGCCCCCTGCCCACTGTGGACTTTGGGGTGGCCTCAGCCAGCTGTCCTGGCCACCAGCCCATCAGACTGAGCAGGAAGGAAGGGGGGGGCCCTGGTGGGCAGGGTGTGGCCCTACTTGCTTTCTCCATGGTGGAGCTGTGAGCAAAAGGGACAGTGGCCACGCCGCCTCCTGGCCTGGGCAGCTGTACCCCCTGAGCTTGAACTTGAGAAGCTGTGGGATTCTGTGAGGCAGTTTCAGACAGTGGAGGCCCTGGACAGCGGAGTGAGTGGCAGGGTCAGACTGGAACCAACCAGGGCCCCGGGGCTCCCCAGGCACTGGGGGATAGGGGCTTCGTCAGGCCAGAGTGCAGTCCAGCATGAGCAGGGAGTGCGGGGAGGACACCCCACCCGCAGCCAGCCGAGTGCTCGTCTCACCTCCTCTCAGGTCCACGGGCCTTCTCCCCGTCCTTCTGTCCACCCCTCACCTGCCTGCATCCCCCATCCACCCATCTACTCCCCACCTACTTACCCATCCATCCATCCGTCCACCCACCTTTCTGCTCATTCATATTTATCCATCATCCGTCATCCATATCCATCCATCCGTCTGTCCATCCATCCACTCATTGATACACACACCAATACACCCATCCATCCACCTGTCTGACCATCCATCCTTCCATTCACCCATCTATCCATCTACCTGTCCTTCTGTCTGTCCACCCAAACCTCACTGAGCACCTGCTGAGTACTGGGAGGTGCTGGGTGACTCTGGCCCCCCAGGGGTGCACCGTGTGGGCGTAGACCAGAATGCACTGGTGCCGGTGCTATGAGGTTTGTATTGGGTCAGTCAGGGGGTGGTGTCATAGACGTTCTAGAAAAGGAATGTGGGACCCCACCCATCGTGCGCACCCCAACTTAGGCCACCCCACAGCTCAGATTCTGAAGTTGGCTGTTGCAGAAGGCTATGGGGCAGAACTCCGTGCTTGAATCCAGACCCGATGTGCTATGCAATCAGGCAGACTGGCCCACCAGTAGGGTCCTTCTGTCCTGGCCAGTCCCACTCCCCATCCCTCCCGTCAGAGAGCACAGGAGGCCAGTGTGGGGGCTGCTCAAGGAACTTTATTGTACAAAGTGGGTCTTCCGCAGGCAGAGCAGGGAGGGCATGAGGCCGTGTCCGTCCCAGCGCAGGGCTCCTGCTGTGTGGCGGGTGACCGGCCCTCTTGCACAGGCTGGCCTCCATCTCTGGCCTTCCTTGGGAAGGCTCGGCCTCTCCAGGGCATGGGCCATTGAGCCAACCGTCAGGAATCTCTTTCCTCTGAGATGCCAGAGACAGAGCTGGGGGATCAGTGGGGTGGGATAGGGGTGGGAGGGTCCAGAAGCAAAAGGGGGTGGTGACAGCAGTGGGGGTGTCAGAGGGACAAGGTCAGGCTACAGTGGCAACAGGAAGCAATCTCTTAGCTAAGGCCGGGGGCTGGTGAGTCTGGGGACACAGAGGTGCTTCTGGTGTGTACCTGCCAAAACACGGGCGTGGAGCACGGGAAGCATTAGTGTGGACCCGAGAACGGGCTACAGCCTGCCCTGCGAGGCCTTGGCTCCGTGAGCCTGCCTCTGTCTCTGGTGGCTGCCTGGCCCGGCCCACACTCCTCCCCGTGTCACAGGCACCTGCTGCAGCCTCTTGGGACACTCGCACCCTGGGTGGACTCTGAGGCCCTGGATCTGGGCCGGGCTCAGCCTGCCCACCCGCCCAAGCAGCCCCGAGAGCTGGACCTGGGGCTCTGGTCCCACAGGCCGGCTGTCTACAGGCAGCCAGAGGCTGGGAGCGCGCCGGGCAGACTCCCCCAGCCCCGCCTCAGGCCAACGGCTCTCTGCAGCCAGCCCCACTGCGGAAGCGGGGCCTCCCTCCTCCCCAAACCAGATGCCATTTGTCAACGTCCTTGCAAACTCGTGGCGCCCAGAAACCAAGGCGGGTAGCTTGGCCAGGACCACCCGGCGAGGCGGTCTGCAGGAGTACCCGTTCAACACAGCTCAGCGAAATCTGCTCCCACCTTCCAGCCAACCTGCCTCTGCCATGCGGCCTCAGCTTCCCCGGGCCTCTTGGCCGCCTCCCCTCACCACTGGCTCGCAGCGGACGGACGCGCCTGTGGTCAGGCCGGCGTCGGTCTGGCGCCCCTCACGTGTCTGCGGGCAGCCTGCTTTTCCCACCCTCGCTGGGGCCTCCCCGGAGGGCTCACAAGTGGGTCTCCTGTCCTGCACTGTGCGGCACTACAGCCTGGCCCCCTCGTCAGCCCCAGGGACCGCCCGGCTCCCCCCTCCCCCCGTAGTCACTGATGCCCAGGCCTAGAAGGATCTGGCAAGTCCGGGGCTCCGGAAAGCTGCTAAGGGAGGGCTCCTCATCCCCAGGCCGGCGGGGAAACCGGAGACTCCGAGCCCCCCAGCCCGTGGGGCAGGAGGCCAGCCTGAGCACGGTTCCTCCCATCCAGGGAGAAGCCATGCTCATTTCGGCCGCATCCGTGACCCTGGAGGCCCGTGGCCCCAGCCCCCAGAGGCCACCTGGACCTCCACCACCCCTGCTGCCAAAGCCAGGGAAGGACAACCTGCGTCTGCAGAAGCTGTTGAGGAAAGCAGCTCGGAAGAAGACGGCAGGGGCTGCCCCCGCCCCGCCCGGAGCCTTCCGCGCCTCCCTGTCCCCTGTGAGTGAGGCCAGCCATGACCTGGAGGCCACGACCCCATGTGCCACCCAGGCCCGGCGCACGGTAGCACCCCTGCCCCGCTCCCCGCACACGCCTGTCATCCACCACGGGGCCTCACCCCAGCAGAGGCCCACCTTCTCCTTCAGCCTCACTGACCACAGCGCTCTGGCCACACATTGGGAGGCCCCTCCAAGGCCTGAAGCCCTGGCCCCAGAACCTACACGACTGCCCAGTGGTTTTGCCCCCGTCTCAGCCCCCAAATCGGGAGGCACACACATCACCCGTGTGCTCATCCAGCTGACACCATCCCCACATGACGGAGCCCCTGAGCCTCTGAAGACGGCCTCCGATGGGGGGCCCAGGGCTCAGGAGGGGGACCCGGCTCCAGTCAGCCACAGTGCCCAGTCTCTGATCCCCGTGGCCCACATCCGCCCGCTGCCTGTCAGGACCCAGGAGGCCAGCCCTGGACCCGAGGAGCCCTCTGTAGCAAGGCCACCATGCAGTTTCCAGGCCTCAGCATCCAGAGAGGCCAGCACCCGGGTGGTGGTGCCCATAGCCCCGACCTACCGCTCTCCCGGACCCCTGGCCGCTGTGGCCCCTGAGGCCGAGTGCCCAGAGGAGCCTCCCCGGTCCAGCCCTGCTCTAGAGGCTGAGAGGATCTCCATGCCCCTGGGAAGCTCATCCCTGGCCCTGCCATCGGGTCCCCACCCATGCCCTGCCCCCAAAGTTGCACCCAAGCCACGGCTCAGCGGCTGGACGCGCCTCAAGCAGCAGCTGATGGAGGATGCAGAGGATCCCTCGTTCCCAGAGCCGGAGCCCAGCCTGGGGTCCACACAGCCAGCGGTGCCCGCTGTGGCTAGTCCCCGGCCGCCTGCCTCCCGGGCCTCCAGAATGTGGGATGCTGTGCTCTACCGCATGTCCGTGGCCGAGTCCCGTGGCTGCTTGGCGGGGCCCAGGGGTGGGAGCTGCCCCCCAGCTGGTCTTGCCCGCCTGCCCTTCCTACACCGGCCTCGCTTCAATGCCCGGAAGCTGCAGGAGGCCACTCGGCCCCCTCCCTCCTTCCACTCCAACCTGGAGCTGAGCCCCCAACCCAAGAACTTCAATCGGACGGCAGCAGGCTGGAGGCTCCGGTGAGGGGCAGAGTGGCCCCCTGGGACCCAGGCCCAGGAGGAGGCGGACAGGCTGGGGCTCGGGGAGGCCATGGCCATTGTGAAGGAGGTGCAGGAGGACAGCGTGCGTCAGGGGCTGGGGAGGCGGGCCCGGTGCCATGGAGTCCAGTGGGTGGTTGGGGCAGGTCGAGGGGACAGGAGCGGTAAGGACACTCTGGGGAAGGGGAAGGGGTGCAGAGGGTGCAGCGAGGGGCAGTGGCAGTCTCAGCAGTGTGGGGAGGCGGAGGAGGTACACCTCAGGGTCAGCGTGGGGCTGGGGGGAGACAGGAGAGGTGGCCTGGGCCTCCTGTCGGGCAGCCCTACTGCCCCCTCCCTCTGCTGGTCAAGGGGACCCAGCACTGGCCCTGGCCGCTGGTCAGCACGCCGCTGGTCCTGAGGGGCCTGGGAGGGCAGGGCCAGGTGCAGCGGGCTGGCCCTGGGAGCAGGGTGACGGGAGGTTCCCTGCCGGCAACCAGGGCTGGGGACCTTCTGGTGGAAGAGTGGGGCAGGGACGCAGTGCTGAAGAGAGGCTGGGTGGGCGGGGCACTGAGGGGCTCCCTGGCGCCACGGGAGAGGAGCCCTGAGCCCTGAGCCCTTCCCCACAGCCTAGCAGCAGCCTCCAGCCCCAGCCCTGGGAAGCAGGGGAGGGACACAGGTGATGGACAGGAAGGGGACTGTGAAGGGAGCCTGGGACCCAGGCCACTAATAAATGTGTGCCCGGCCATGGTGTCGCTCTCTGTCTCCACCTGGGCGGGGAGGGCAGCAGAACCCTCCAGTGGCCCTTGGGAGGGGGAGACACAGGTTCTGCTCCTTTAAGATCCTCAGTGCCTGGGTGCTCAGGGAGCACACTCCTGGGGGCTCCATCCCACCAGCTCGAGGTCCCACAGTGGCCAGGCCGCCCTCTCCTCTCTGGAGGACTCCTGGGACACAGGGGACTCCTGAAGGGCACTTTGAGGTGGCTGAGCCATCCTGACCTTGATGGACGGTTCCAGGCTCATGTGAGACCAGGGGCCAAGTCTGCCAGGGGCCAGAGGCTGAGTTGGCTCTGAGCTGCGGCCAGCTGGGAGGTCAGGCCCTCAGCCCGCAGGCCTCAGCCTCACAGCCTGAGACATGGCCAGTGGGCCCTGTTCCCTCTGTACTCTCCCACGTTTCACACACGGCACTCGTCACCATCCCAGACTCACCGAGACGCAGGCCCTAGGGTACCGGGCCCTCGTCCACCAGGACCTTCTCGTACTTCCCGTGTCCGGTGGCCACAAACTTGTACCTCTTTCCAGATGGGGTGGCCTGTGGGGGAAGAAGGCCAAGTCAAAGGGAGAGGGGAGGAGGGGAGAAAGGGCACCCCGCCTCGCCTGGCCCGGCCTGTGCGGTCACATCAGGCCCTACCTTGATGGAGGATGAGGGCGTGGGGTCTCCGCTGAGCTCCCAGAGGCTTCTCTTGCTCATGTCTCCTGCTACAATATCCTGGGCAGACCAGGGGGCAGTCACGGGGCAGACCCAGGCCGTGGGGCTGGCAGCCCTGGCCCCTCTCTTTGGCTGGGTCTCACCTGGTCAAGGGGACCTGCCTACCTGGCATCTCGAGGGAGACCCGGGGGGAGCTTTGACCGCTGGCCCAGCCTTCTCCACACCACTCCCGCAGGGCTTCTCCACAGGCCAGCCCTCTGCCCTCCCTCCCTCACCCCGAGTGGCCACACACTGGCTCTTCCAGGGACCTCTGCCGCTACGCCCGCCAGGCTTTGCCTTCCCAGCTCTGCTCTGCCTGCCGAGGGGCCCTACCTTGCAGGAGGGGGTCTTGGCAGAAGACAGAGTCTGCATCTCTCCTGTCTCCCATAGACTCTTGGTACTGGCCACCGCCATGCTGGGCAACTCTATGGAGGCCTGGCGGGAGAGTTTGGGCGTCCGGCCAGCAGACTGCGGAGGAGACAGAGCCCCAGGGTAGCTTTAGTGGACAGCCACCATGGGGCACGCTGGGCGGTTCAGTCTTCATATTCTCCCCAGGGGGGCTTCCCCACAGCCTGCTGGAATGGGGTGCTCCCCTTCCCACGGTGTGCAGGTCCTGAAGCACTCAGGAGCCCGAGGCACGCGAGACATTAGGGGTCTGTCTTCACGCTGCTCGTGGGATGAGGCTAGAGGAATCCGTGTGGAGTGGAGGGTCACTGATTGCACAGAGAGGTTTGTTTGGACAGAGGGGCGTGGGTTGGATGAAAGGGTATCTGCTGGACAGGGAGACATGGGTCCAGTAAATGGTCATGACCAGACCTCTATCACTGACTGGAGGAGTGTCAGCTGGATACAGGGTGTTGGTGGCATGGGAAATCTACGCAGGAGTGGAGGGCACGGGCCACGCGGGCAGGCGTACCTCGAGGGCCTGGGTATACTGCTGCAGCCGCTCGTCAATCTTGGCGATGGGCAGGGCTGGCTGGGACTTCTTCACAGTGTTACTGGAGGGTAGGAGGGATGAGCCTCAGGTCCCCGTCAGTCCTCCCAACCCACCAAGAGACCCTCTTGGAGCGCCCCAGGTCCCAGGTCTCCACCCCCTCTGAGAATCCTGGAGGACAGACACACCTCTTCTCTACGGAGCGGTTCAGGGACTCGGTCCTGTCAGCAAGCTGTGGAGGTGGAGAGGGCTGTGGGTCCTAGGCAGCCAGAGTAGGCCATGCTCCTCCCCCAATGACCCCACCCATCAATCCAGTCATGGACTGTGACTTCCACGACACAAAGGCACTGCTTGCTGGCTATGAGGAGGTGTAGGAAACAGGAAAAGACATGGGGCAGGAGCTGGGGGGCAGAGGACACGGGCAGGAGCTGGGGGGGGAGAGGACACGGGGCAGGAGCTGGGGGGGCAGAGGACTCGGGGCAGGAGCTGGGGGGGGAGAGGACACGGGGCAGGAGCTGGGGGGGCAGAGGACATGGGGCAGGAGCCTGGGGGGGGGAGAGGACATGGGGCAGGAGCCTGGGGGGGGGAGAGGACATAGGGCAGGAGCTGGGGGGGCAGAGGACATGGGGCAGGAGCCTGGGGGGGAGAGAGGACATAGGGCAGGAGCTGGGGGGGGGAGAGGACACGGGGCAGGAGCTGGGGGTGCAGAGGACATGGGGCAGGAGCCTGGGGGGGGGGGAGGACATAGGGCAGGAGCTGGGGGGGCAGAGGACATGGGGCAGGAGCCTGGGGGGGGGAGAGGACATAGGGCAGGAGCTGGGGGGCAGAGGACATGGGGCAGGAGCCTGGGGGGGGGAGAGGACATAGGGCAGGAGCTGGGGGGGCAGAGGACATGGGGCAGGAGCCTGGGGGGGGGAGAGGACATAGGGCAGGAGCTGGGGGGGGGAGAGGACACGGGGCAGGAGCGGGGGGGGCAGAGGACATAGGGCAGGAGCTGGGGGGGGCAGAGGACATGGGGCAGGAGCTGGGGGGACAGAGGACACAGGCAGGAGCCTGGGGGGGGGAGAGGACATAGGGCAGGAGCTGGGGGGGGAGAGGACATAGGGCAGGAGCTGGGGGGGGGAGAGGACACGGGGCAGGAGCTGGGGGGGCAGAGGACATAGGGCAGGAGCTGGGGGGGGAGAGGACACGGGGCAGGAGCTGGGGGGGCAGAGGACATAGGGCAGGAGCTGGGGGGAGAGAGGACACGGGGCAGGAGCTGGGGGGGCAGAGGACACGGGGCAGGAGCCTGGGGGGGGGAGAGGACATAGGGCAGGAGCTGGGGGGGGGAGAGGACACGGGGCAGGAGCTGGGGGGGCAGAGGACATGGGGCAGGAGCCTGGAGGGGGGAGAGGACATAGGGCAGGAGCTGGGGGGGCAGAGGACATGGGGCAGGAGCCTGGGGGGGAGAGAGGACATAGGGCAGGAGCTGGGGGGGGAGAGGACACGGGGCAGGAGCTGGGGGGGCAGAGGACATGGGGCAGGAGCCTGGGGGGGGAGAGGACATAGGGCAGGAGCTGGGGGGCAGAGGACATGGGGCAGGAGCCTGGGGGGGGGAGAGGACATAGGGCAGGAGCTGGGGGGGCAGAGGACATGGGGCAGGAGCCTGGGGGGGGGGAGAGGACATAGGGCAGGAGCTGGGGGGGGGAGAGGACACGGGGCAGGAGCTGGGGGGGCAGAGGACATAGGGCAGGAGCTGGGGGGGGCAGAGGACATGGGGCAGGAGCTGGGGGGACAGAGGACACAGGCAGGAGCCTGGGGGGGGAGAGGACATAGGGCAGGAGCTGGGGGGGGGAGAGGACATAGGGCAGGAGCTGGGGGGGGGAGAGGACACGGGGCAGGAGCTGGGGGGGCAGAGGACATAGGGCAGGAGCTGGGGGGGGGAGAGGACATAGGGCAGGAGCTGGGGGGGCAGAGGACATAGGGCAGGAGCTGGGGGGGGTGGAGAGGACACTGGGCAGGAGCTGGGGGGGCAGAGGACACGGGGCAGGAGCCTGGGGGGGGAGAGGACATAGGGCAGGAGCTGGGGGGGGGAGAGGACATAGGGCAGGAGCTGGGGGGGGAGAGGACATAGGGCAGGAGCTGGGGGGGAGAGGACATGGGGCAGGAGCTGGGGGGGGAGAGGCCATAGGGCAGGAGCTGGGGGGGCAGAGGACATGGGACAGGAGCTGGGGGGGGAGAGGACACGGGGCAGGAGCTGGGGGGGGGAGAGGACACGGGGCAGGAGCTGGGGGGGGGCAGAGGACACGGGGCAGGAGCTGGGGGGGGAGAGGACATAGGGCAGGAGCTGGGGGGGGAGAGGACATAGGGCAGGAGCTGGGGGGGCAGAGGACATGGGGTAGGAGCTGGGGGGGGAGACGACATAGGGCAGGAGCTGGGGGGGGGAGAGGACACGGGGCAGGAGCTGGGGGGGGGAGAGGACACGGGGCAGGAGCTGGGGGGGCAGAGGACACGGGGCAGGAGCTGGGGGGGCAGAGGACACGGGGCAGGAGCCTGGGGGGGCAGAGGACACGGGGCAGGAGCCTGGGGGGGGGAGAGGACACGGGGCAGGAGCTGGGGGGGCAGAGGACACGGGGCAGGAGCTGGGGGGGGAGAGGACACAGGGCAGGAGCTGGGGGGGGGAGAGGACACGGGGCAGGAGCTGGGGGGGCAGAGGACACGGGGCAGGAGCTGGGGGGGGAGAGGACACGGGGCAGGAGCTGGGGAGGGCAGAGGACCCGGGGCAGGAGCCTGGGGGGGGGCAGAGGACACGGGGCAGGAGCTGGGGGGGGGAGAGGACACGGGGCAGGAGCTGGGGGGGGGGGGGGACACGGGGCAGGAGCTGGGGGGGCAGAGGACACGGGGCAGGAGCTGGGGGGGGAGAGGACACGGGGCAGGAGCTGGGGATGGCAGAGGACCCGGGGCAGGAGCCTGGGGGGGGGCAGAGGACACGGGGCAGGAGCTGCGGGGGGGAGAGGACACGGGGCAGGAGCTGGGGGGGCAGAGGACACGGGGCAGGAGCTGGGGGGGCAGAGGACACGGGGCAGGAGCCTGGGGGGGCAGAGGACACGGGGCAGGAGCCTGGGGGGGGAGAGGACATGGGGCAGGAGCTGGGGGGGGAGAGGACACGGGCAGGAGCTGGGGGGGGGAGAGGACACGGGGCAGGAGCTGGGGGGGCAGAGGACACGGGGCAGGAGCTGGGGGGGGAGAGGACATGGGGCAGGAGCTGGGGGGAGCAGAGGACACGGGGCAGGAGCTGGGGGGGGAGAGTACATAGGGCAGGAGCTGGGGGGGCAGAGGACATGGGGCAGGAGCTGGGGGGGCAGAGGACATGGGGCAGGAGCTGGGGGGGGAGAGGACATGGGGCAGGAGCTGGGGGGGGGAGAGGACATAGGGCAGGAGCTGGGGGGGCAGAGGACACGGGGCAGGAGCTGGGGGGGAGAGGACACGGGGCAGGAGCTGGGGGGGGCAGAGGACACGGGGCAGGAGCTGGGGGGGGCAGAGGACACGGGGCAGGAGCTGGGGGGGCAGAGGACACGGGGCAGGAGCTGGGGGTGCAGAGGACATGGGGCAGGAGCTGGGGGGGGCAGAGGACATGGGGCAGGAGCCTGGGGGGGGGAGAGGACACGGGGCAGGAGCTGGGGGGGCAGAGGACACAGGGCAGGAGCTGGGGGGGGCAGAGGACACAGGGCAGGAGCTGGGGGGGCAGAGGACACGGGGCAGGAGCTGGGGGGGGAGAGGACACGGGGCAGGAGCTGGGGGGTAGAGGACACAGGGCAGGAGCCTGGGGGGGAGAGAGGACACAGGGCAGGAGCTGGGGGGGGAGAGGACATAGGGCAGGAGCTGGGGGGGGGAGAGGACACGGGGCAGGAGCTGGGGGGTAGAGGACACAGGGCAGGAGCTGGGGGGGCAGAGGACATAGGGCAGGAGCTGGGGGGGGGAGAGGACATAGGGCAGGAGCTGGGGGGGGGAGAGGACATAGGGCAGGAGCCTGGGGGGGCAGAGGACACGGGGCAGGAGCTGGGGGGGGCAGAGGACACGGGGCAGGAGCCTGGGGGGGGAGAGGACACGGGGCAGGAGCTGGGGGGGGGAGAGGACACGGGGCAGGAGCTGGGGGGGGGAGAGGACATAGGGCAGGAGCTGGGGGGGGAGAGGACATGGGGCAGGAGCCTGGGGGGGGAGAGGACACGGGGCAGGAGCTGGGGGGGTGGAGAGGACACGGGGGAGGAGCTCGGGGGGCAGAGGACACGGGGCAGGAGCTGGGGGGCAGAGGACACGGGGCAGGAGCTGGGGGGGGCAGAGGACACGGGGCAGGAGCTGGGGGGGGAGAGGACATGGGGCAGGAGCTGGGGGGGCAGAGGACATGGGGCAGGAGCCTGGGGGGGGGAGAGGACACGGGGCAGGAGCTGGGGGGGGGAAGAGGACACGCGGGAGGAGCTCGGGGGGCAGAGGACACGGGGCAGGAGCTGGGGGGCAGAGGACACGGGGCAGGAGCTGGGGGGGGAGAGGACATGGGGCAGGAGCTGGGGGGGCAGAGGACATGGGGCAGGAGCTGGGGGGGCAGAGGACATGGGGCAGGAGCCTGGGGGGGGGAGAGGACACGGGGCAGGAGCTGGGGGGGTGGAGAGGACACGGGAGAGGAGCTCGGGGGGCAGAGGACACGGGGCAGGAGCTGGGGGGCAGAGGACACGGGGCAGGAGCTGGGGGGGGCAGAGGACATGGGGCAGGAGACTGGGGGGCAGAGGACACGGGGCAGGAGCTGGGGGGGCAGAGGACACGGGGCAGGAGCTGGGGGGCAGAGGACATGGGGCAGGAGCTGGGGGGGCAGAGGACACGGAGCAGGAGCTGGGGGGGGCAGAGGACATGGGGCAGGAGCTGGGGGGGCAGAGGACATGGGGCAGGAGCTGGGGGGCAGAGGACACGGGGCAGGAGCCTAGTGGACGCAGAGGACATGGGCAAGAGCCTGAGGTGACGTACTTTGGTGGTAGGGCTCAGGGGAGGTGAGATTGGTCTGGTGTTCCCCTCCAAGCCCAAGGGACTGGGGGTCCTGGGCTGTTGACATCTCTGGTGCTGTGGATAGAAAGCCCAGACAACCAGGTGACCCCTCCTGCAGCCCTCCTCCAGCCCCGGCCCTGCTGAAGCCGGCGCTTTCCCCTGGCTGGGCCTCAGGTGCTGTCTCCCTGACACACTCCAGTTCTGGAATTCTTAACAGCAGGGCAGTGTCCTGGTGACGTGGAGAGAACTTGCCCAGAGGTCGCCCAGCCCCACCACCCCCACAGTGTGGGCCTGGGAAGCTACAGTCTGGGGCAGGGGAGCTGGTTCTCTGTACTGATCACGGGACCCACGGGGTGTTGTAGGGGTGGGCGGGGGCTCGGACCCTTGGAGTAGCCCTCACCTCCTCTGCCTCCCCAGCCTCTGCCACCTCCTGGTGGCCCTGGACAGGCTCCTCTGGGCTAGACCCCTCCTGGCTCAAACCTAGCTGTTCCAGGTGGACACTGGCTTGACGCAGCCCATCACTGATCTCATTTCCACAGGTTCGCTGGCAGGACCTGTGGGTTGAACAGGCAAAACCGACTGAGGGCCACCCAGCTGCTTGGCCCGAGTCCTCTCCCATTCCTACTCAGTTCCCCATCTATAAAACGACGGCAGTCCAATGAGTTGAGTTCTTCTGGGACCCCAGCTTCTTGGGGTAAGGAGGCCCGAGGACCCCAGAGCCAGCCCCACTTCCTAGTCCTGTGCTGAGGCCCGAGGTCCCTTCCAGAAGAGCAGCCACTGCCTGGTCCAGGCTGTGCAGGGCCACCCAGGCGCTGGGGCTGGACCCCTCCCTACAGCCCCCTCTGAGGCCAGCCCGTCTGTCCACAACCTCCTGCCTGCTCCTGCCCCACTCTGTGTGTGGGCAAGTGTCTCGCAGAGCAGGACGTCCAGGGGAGGGAGGGAGGCAGGAGTCGGGGGAAGTTTTGGGGGCCTGGGTCTGGTGGTGGGCGAGGCGACGGTCGGGACACACGGCCTGACTGGAGAGGGGGGCCACAGGGAGACAGGGCGGCCTGCTGGCCACGGGTGTGGCTCTGCATCTGAGCGGGACTGAACCTGGAGAAGAAGATGGTGAATTGTTGGGTTTTCCATGATTTCAGGCCCCTTGGTGTACATGCCAGCCAAGACCCAGACCCAGCCGCCCAAGGTGGGCCGGGGTCTGAGCCAGGGTAGCCACACAGAGAGGCCATTCAGGAGCTGACTGTCCTTGTGGTTAGGCAGGTGTGGGTGGGGTGGAGGCTGCAGGGGCCCAGAGATCCACCAGAAGAGCAAAAGCGCCCCCTGCTGTTGGGCGGGGGCAGGATGAAGCCAGCCAGTCGGGCGGCCGCTCCCTCTCAGAGATGCAGAGTGTGCAGGGAAGACAAAGGCCACACAGGGAAGCTGAGGAGTGGGCAGGCAGGACCAGGGCCCGGACAGGCAGGGGACCTCAGGTGTGGGAGCCTGGTTGTGGGTGAAAAGGGGCAGCAGTGACACGGGGGAGGGCTGAACCAGCACTCTGGCTGGCTGGGGGCCTCAGAGGGGCCTCGGGCTCTGGATCAGGGACTGTGGGCAGCACGGCCACAGGCTCTGGCTACTTGAGGCTCTGGCCCCAAGCTGGGGGCAGAATTCTGAGCAGGGTTGGAGGCCCACCATGCCCAGGCCTGATGGGCTGGGGCTGGGGGTCTTCCTGCAAATAGCTCCTGGGTTACGAAGAGCAGCTCAGACACCGAGCTGGGGGAGGGCAAGGTGAGGGTCTGGGAACAGACCCCATCCGTGGGCCCAGAGTTGCTTTGGGCCCCAACCGCCCTAATTCAGAGGCACACACGTCCAAACATCTGGAAAGTGTGTCCCCCCTCCCCAGGCTGACTCGCAGGCACACATCTGGAAATACCTGCTCCCCTCCGTGGGAATGGAGATCAGCCAGCCCCCAGGGAGGGGGGTGGCGGCCGGGGCTGCAGAGCTAGCATTACGTAAGTGGGCTGCAGCTGTGCGCTGATGTGGCCGCCCCCAGCCCCCCACTCCCACCGCCCACCCCCCGCCGCAGCTGGTCTGGATGGGGCCCAGGGGCCCTGGGGAGCCCAGGAATGAAATTTCCTCACCGCCCGCCCTGCAGCCCCCTCCCCGCCGCCCTGCTGTCTCGTTCCCTTCCTCCTTCCTCCCTCACAGCCATGGGCACTGGGGAGCGGGCTGGGAACGCAGTCAGAGGCTGCTGGGTAGGTGCAGTTTGGGGCCTCCACCCCCACTTGCCTGTCCTGCTTGCCCTCTGGACTTTCAGCCCCGGGGCACTCTCCGCCATCCAAGGCCCCCTCCTCAACCCAGTGCTGCTGTGGTGGCTGCTGTGGCTTCTGGGACCAGTCACCAAAACCCTCGTCCTCCTCGTCTTGTTCAGGGGCCTCCGAGGGCTTCACTCCGAGGCTAGAGAGAAGTAGAGGTGTTAGATGTGCCCCTGCTCCCCTTCACCGGCCTCCCTCCAGCCGACCCTGGGCCCCAAGAGAGGGAGACCCATCTGCCTCAGAGCTGGCCCATGGCTAGGCTCTGCTCCCCATGGTCAGAACCCCTGAGGGCAACACTGCCTCCATCGGAGGTCCCCCCAGCAGGACTGGGCCTCCCCCATCGGCCTAGGGCTCCCCTGGAGCAGGGCTGGGCCTCCCCCATGGTCCTAGGGCTCCTCTAGAGCAGGGCTGGGCCTCCCCCATGGTCCTAGGGCTCCCCTGGAGCAGGGCTGGGCCTCTCCCATGGGCCTAGGGCACCCCTGGAGCAGGGCTGGGCCTCCCCCATGGTCCTAGGGCTCCCCTGGAGCAGGGCTGGGCCTCCCGCATGGGCCCAGGGCTCCCCTGGAGCAGGGCTGGGCCTCTCCCATGGGCCTAGGGCACCCCTGGAGCAGGGCTGGGCCTCCCGCATGGGCCCAGGGCTCCCCTGGAGCAGAGCTGTGCCTCCCCCATGGGCCCAGGGCTCCTCTAGAGCAGGGCTGTGCCTCCCCCATGGGCCTAGGGCACCCCTGGAGCAGGGCTGGGCCTCCCCCATGAGCCTATGGCTCCCCTGGAGCAGGGCTGGGCCTCCCCCATGAGCCTAGGGCTCCCCTGAAGCAGGGCTGGGCCTCCCCCATGGTCCTAGGGCTCCCCTGGAGCAGGGCTGGGCCTCCCCCATGGTCCTAGGGCTCCCCTGGAGCAGGGCTGGGCCTCCCCCATGGGCCTAGGGCTCCCCTGGAGCAGGGCTGGGCCTCCCCCATGGTCCTAGGGCTCCCCTGGAGCAGGGCTGGGCCTCCCCCATGGTCCTAGGGCTCCCCTGGAGCAGGGCTGGGCCTCCCCCATGGGCCCAGGGCTCCTCTAGAGCAGGGCTGTGCCTCCCCCATGGGCCTAGGGCTCCCCTGGAGCAGGGCAGGGCCTCCCCCATGAGCCTAGGGCTCCCCTGGAGCAGGGCTGGGCCTCCCCCATGGGCCTAGGGCTCCCCTGGAGCAGGGCTGGGCCTACCCCATGGTCCTAGGGCTCCCCTGGAGCAGGGCTGGGCCTTCCCCCATGGTCCTAGGGCTCCTCTAGAGCAGGGCTGGGCCTCCCCCATGGTCCTAGGGCTCCTCTAGAGCAGGGCTGGGCCTCCCCCATGGGCCTAGGGCTCCCCTGGAACAGGGCTGGGCCTCCCCCATGGTCCTAGGGCTCCCCTGGAGCAGGGCTGTGCCTCCCCCATGGGCCTAGGGCTCCTCTAGAGCAGGGCTGGGCCTTCCCCCATGGTCCTAGGGCTCCTCTAGAGCAGGGCTGGGCCTCCCCCATGGGCCCAGGGCTCCCCTGGAGCAGGGTTGGGCCTCCCCCATGGGCCTAGGGCTCCCCTGGAGCAGGGCTGGGCTTCCCCCCATGGTCCTAGGGCTCCCCTGGAGCAGGACTGGGCCTCCCCCATGGGCCTAGGGCTCCCCTGGAGCAGGGCTGGGCCTCCCCCCATGGTCCTAGGGCTCCCCTGGAGCAGGGCTAGGCCTCCCCCATGAGCCTATGGCTCCCCTGGAGCAGGGCTGGGCCTCCCCCATGGGCCTAGGGCTCCTCTGGAGCAGGGCTGGGCCTCCCCCATGGGCCTAGGGCTCCTCTGGAGCAGGGCTGGGCCTCCCCCATGGGCCCAGGGCTCCCCTGGAGCAGGGTTGGGCCTCCCCCATGAGCCTAGGGCTCCCCTGGAACTGGGCTGTGCCTCCCCAATGGGCCTAGGGCTCCCCTGGAGCAGGGCTGGGCCTCCCCCATGAGCCTAGGGCTCCCCTGGAACTGGGCTGTGCCTCCCCCATGGGCCTATGGCTCCCCTGGAACCGGGCTGTGCCTCCCCCATGGGCCTAGGGCTCCCCTGGAGCAGGGCTGGGCCTCCCCCCATGGTCCTAGGGCTCCCCTGGAGCAGGGCTGGGCCTCCCCCATGAGCCTATGGCTCCCCTGGAGCAGGGCTGGGCCTCCCCCATGGGCCTAGGGCTCCTCTAGAGCAGGGCTGGGCCTCCCCCATGGGCCCAGGGCTCCCCTGGAGCAGGGTTGGGCCTCCCCCATGAGCCTAGGGCTCCTCTGGAGCAGGGCTGGGCCTCCCCCATGGGCCTAGGGCTCCTCTGGAGCAGGGCTGGGCCTCCCCTATGGTCCTAGGGCTCCCCTGGAGCAGGACTGGGCCTCCCCCATGGGCCTAGGGCTCCCCTGGAGCAGGACTGGGCCTCCCCCATGGGCCCAGGGCTCCCCTGGAGCAGGGCTGGGCCTCCCCCATGGTCCTAGGGCTCCCCTGGAGCAGGGCTGTGCCTCCCCCATGGGCCTAGGGCACCCCTGGAGCAGGGCTGGGCCTCCCCCATGGTCCTAGGGCTCCCCTGGAGCAGGGCTGGGCCTCCCCCATGGGCCTAGGGCACCCCTGGAGCAGGGCTGGGCCTCCCCCATGGTCCTAGGGCTCCCCTGGAGCAGGGCTGGGCCTCCCCCATGGTCCTAGGGCTCCCCTGGAGCAGGGCTGGGCCTCCCCCATGGTCCTAGGGCTCCCCTGGAGCAGGGCTGGGCCTCCCCCATGGGCCTAGGGCACCCCTGGAGCAGGGCTGGGCCTCCCCCATGGTCCTAGGGCTCCCCTGGAGCAGGGCTGGGCCTCCCCCATGGTCCTAGGGCTCCCCTGGAGCAGGGCTGGGCCTCCCCCATGGTCCTAGGGCACCCCTGGAGCAGGGCTGGGCCTCCCCCATGGTCCTAGGGCTCCCCTGGAGCAGGGCTGGGCCTCCCCCATGGTCCTAGGGCTCCCCTGGAGCAGGGCTGGGCCTCCCCCATGGTCCTAGGGCTCCCCTGGAGCAGGGCTGGGCCTCCCCCATGGTCCTAGGGCTCCCCTGGAGCAGGGCTGGGCCTCCCCCATGGGCCCAGGGCTCCTCTAGAGCAGGACTGGGCCTCCCCCATGGGCCTAGGGCTCCCCTGGAGCAGGGCTGGGCCTCCCCCATGGGCCTAGGGCTCCCCTGGAGTAGGGCTGGGCCTCCCCCACGGTCCTAGGGCTCCCCTGGAGCAGGGCTGGGCCTCCCCCATGGTCCTAGAGCTCCCCTGGAGCAGGGCTGGGCCTCCCCCATGGTCCTAGGGCTCCCCTGGAGCAGGGCTGGGCCTCCCCCATGAGCCTAGGGCTCCCCTGGAACAGGGCTGGGCCTCCCCCATGGTCCTAGGGCTCCCCTGGAGCAGGGCTGGGCCTCCCCCATGGTCCTAGGGCTCCCCTGGAGCAGGGCTGGGCCTCCCCCATGGGCCTAGGGCACCCCTGGAGTAGGGCTAGGGCTCTCCAAGCTGCCCTGGCCCAGACTCCTGCACTGAGCCGTCCTCACGGGCTCTCCAGTGTAACAAGGTGAGCTCTGCAGGAGCAGGGGCTGGGGGCTAGAAGGGATTCTCAGGCTTCAGGGTGACTGAGAGACCTGGCCGAGGGACCATGACCGCTGCTGCACCCCACCCCGCCCTAAGCTGCTGACTCGGAGAAAATGGAACAAAACAGGGCCAGGAGGAAGGGGAGCATTATTGGAGAAACAGCCCAGCCCAGCCGCGGAGGCCTCCTGGGCCCGGGGAGGAAACGAGCAGGCCTGTGGCCGCCAACTTGGACGTGGCCTCTGTGAGTCACCGGCAGCAGGGAACTTGGGCGGGGGGCTCGGGGGCCAGGGCCGGGGTTGGGGTCAGCACCGGTCCAAGCGAGGGCTGGGACCAGGCAGAGTGTCCAGAGCCTGAGTCAGACCCCAGGATCCTGGCTGGGAGGGGCGGCCGTTCGTGGCTCTGCGCACCCTCTGGCCAGGCAGGCATCTGGCAGATGGGGTCACCCAAGGCTGCTGACCACCCTTGCCCTAAGAGCACTGCCTTGCTCTGAGTCGTCCTACCCTGGGACCTCAAAGCCCAGGGCCTGACCCTGTACCCAGGCCCTGGGCCACAGCACACAGGGCTCCAGGGCCAGGGGGCTTACAGAGCCTCTTGCTCCGGCTGCTCTGGGTGGGGGCCACCCTCATCCTGGTCCCGCTTCATCCTCTCCCGCTCCCGCCGGCGCTGCTCCCGGGCCACTTCCTCTTCATCCTCCACACTCCACTGAGTGGTGAGCCTGGAGGGAGACACAGAGGGACAGTCACGCCACGGCGGAGACAGGGTGTCACCTGGTAAGAGCGGTGGACAGCCCTGGACCAGTTCTCTCAGCCTTAGTTTTCCCATCTTTAAAATAGAGGCCATGCACCAAGCCACGAAGTTGCCTCTGGTCCAGGTGGAGGCCCTGGGCCCCATGCATCTGGGCATCCAGGTACTCTCCTGGGGATGGAGGGGCTTCAGTGTCCAGGTGGGCCTGAAGAAACCAAAATGGAACTCAAAACTGTCCCCTCCTACTTTCCCGCCTCCCTAGGCCCAACTGGACGAGGACCTAGAGCACCAGGGCTTGGGAAGAGATGGCTGGGGGTCATGGCCATGGCCACTTGTGCTCACACACCTTGGACAGCAGACACCAGGTGGCCGGCCAGCCAGCCACCCTCACCCCACCTGACTTAGGCAGGCCTTCCTGCTCCTCAGCACCGAGCGTCAGGAGGAGGTGGCCCTGCCACCAAGTCACGGTAGGAGGCCTGCGTCAGCCTCCCAGCATGTGGTCCTGTCCAGCCTCAGCCCCTTCGCACGTCCACCGAGCATGTGTCCAGTCCACAGCTGGTCCCCCTGTCGGGCACCCCACCCTCACCTCAGAGTCCTCTGTGGAGTCTCTGGGCTGGTTCAAGGTGGAGGCCCTAGTCTCTGGGCTGGTCAGCTGCCCTCAGAGTGCCCTGACCCCAGACTTCTCGGAAGAGTCCCTCACAGCAGGGTTGGGAACAAACAGAGGAAGGCACAAGGCTGGCCTGGGGATCTGGAGCCCTGGCCCATAGCTCTCTAGCCACTGCTGTCCAGCAGGCACCACAGCTCGGCCATCCCAGCCGACCCCCAGCTCACCTGGAGCTGGGGGGCTCCAGGGTCTCTGCATCTACAGGGCTCACGGCCCCCTCCACCAGGGAAGGAGCCCAGGCCAGAGCTGGTACCGGGCTGCAGCTCTCTGCCGGGGTCTCAGTCCTTCCCGGCCGGTGTCCGCCACATGACCCCACAGCCCGCTCCCCTCTGGGCCTCCGTCCCCTGGCCAGGCAGCCCTGCCAGCACATGATCTAATCTCCCCAGGTCTCCCCTAAGCCTGTCAGACGAAAGCCAGGCCTCTCCTCAGGCTCCAGCACGGCCCCCCCCAGCCACATGGGACTGCACCTCCCTCGGCCAGCTGCCTGCCTCATCCTCACAGGGCCTCCAACTGCAGCGCGTGAAGCCCTCAACTCCCCACACCTGGCTCCCATCACCCGCAGAGAGGCCAGCCTCCTGCTCTGCGGCCTCTGCCGGCCAGGGACGGGGAGCTCCTTGCTCTTGGGGTTCCTGCTAGCACCCATGCACACCAGCCGTCTCCTAGTGGACAGCCAGGGTGGGCAGGTGGGGGTGTCCCTGCCTTGCCCGGGCAACCCCTGGGAAAGCCCATGCAGGGTGAGCTGTTCCCACCTCTGGCTCTCTGTGGGCACAGGCTGGGTGTGCCTTGAAGTCTGCACACGCACGTGGAGGGAGGTTCTGGAGCGTGTGCGGGCAGGACGCATGTGCCCAAGTGGGCATGTGGGCCTGGGTCCCCAGGCAGGGCCTCAGCTTCTTCTTGGGGCTGGCCCTGCTCCCTTGTGGCCTCTGAGTGGGACCAGGGTCAGTCTTGCTCCTCGGACCCCTCCATCAAGCCAAGAACCTCCAAAAGCACAAAGAAGGGGTGCAAACCCCCCGGGGTACCGAACCAAGGCCACGGGGCCCCATGGGGCCCACGGGCAGAGCCACGTGAGCACGTGGAGCTGCTCCCGGCTCCCACCCAGCAGGGTGGACGTGCACACACTTGCTCTCCTGTGCCCAGTGGGCACCCCACACAACCCTGGCCCACACCTGGACGTCCCTGGGCCTGCACACCCAGGACGTAGGAGCAGGGCATGGCAACGGCAGGTCCTGCCCCGTTCCAGGCTCCTTCTGGGGTGCCCCCACCTCACTATTGACTGTTTTCCTGCACATCACCCAGACAACAGTAAGCAGGGCCTGGGGGGAGGCCAAGGTGTGTTTTCTGGGAACATGGCCGCTCCAGAGCCAGGGCTCCTCCAAGGGGCACCCCCACTTAGCCCTCCTTGGATAGAAGCTTGGGGGACAGGGAAGGTGCAGGGCAGGGTCTCCCACGCTGGGGAGAAGTCCCACCAGCCCCCACTCCTGACCCAGCAGCCAAGGACAAGGAGGCCTCTGGGCCCCTTTCCCTGCCTCCTCCCTTCCCGCCTGCCCCAGGATGTGAGTCATGCGGCCCCCTCCCCATGACCTCACCCTCGCTCTTCCACAGCTGGGCTCCGTTCTGGGAACTGAAAGGGGCCGCTCTCCTGGGGTGGGGTGGGGGCCTCTGGCCTGGGAAAGGCGCCCCCGGCCCGCGGCCCAGACCCTTGGCACGCTCTGCAGAGCTGTCAGGACTCTGGCGATGGCCACCCCGCCCGGGGCCAGGCCCCGCCAAGCGCAGCTGCGAGGGATTTGGTGTTCCTGAGCTGAATGCAATCAGCCATTTCCTGCGTCTGCTCTGGCTCCGGGGCCCAGGGCTCAGCCTGACAGGCCGGGGGCCCTGTTCCCCAAGCCGGCACAGCCCGGTTCAGCACGGGGCTCAGCCCTGTCCACGTGCACGACTCGCACCGACCCCAGACCCTCTCCCCACTTTCAGTGGGGCTCCCTGAGCTCAGAGCTTCCCGGTGACCATGTCCACCATCTGCCGCCCCCAACTCGGGACACCAATCTCTTTTTCTTCCTCCACACTACCCCCAGTCCTGTCTCCCAGTCCCCACTGAGATGCCAAAAATGCCCTTCCCGGGCTGGACACTCCCAGCTGCCCACCCCCACCATCCCCCTCTGGATAGTTCCTGCAGGGGCAGCAAGACTCAGTACCCGTCCCAATTCTGCCCCCTGCAGGCTACTCATGTGACTGCCCCATCCAGCCCAGCCTGAAGATCAGGCAGGGTTTGTCCCCAGTCCTGGGGAGAACGTGAGGGTTCAGCTGGGGGACTGGGACCAAAGCAAGAATGTCCAGGAACAACTTCTCCTTCAGGCTCCCCGTACCCTCCTGACCCCAAGTCTCCTGGACAATGGAGACTAGGAGGCTGGAGGTGACCAGGAGGCCTGGGAGGTGGCTGGTGGCCCCCAGGAGTAGGTGAGCCGGCTCCCTGCAACCACCAGAGTCTCTGTGGCCTTTTAAGAGCCCAGATGCCCCAGTATCTCATACACTGTCCACCAGGATGGACATTTGCCCCTGAGCCACTGCAGAGCCCTGGGGAGAAAGGACAGACACAGGGGCATGAGCCCTGGCTTCCAGAGGGTAGTGGGACAGCATGCACCCTGCCCATGATACTCACAAGAAGGCCCCCACAGGCAGAGGACAGGTCTGTCCTGGAAGCCTGGGGACAGAGTGGCAGAGCAGAACCTGCACCCGCACCTTGGGCCACCCTCAGCAGGCCCCTTGTCCCCAGGGAGCTGGCCTGGGTGTGGTTCTGCCTGGCTGTCACTCATCCTGGGGAGGCCACTGGAGGCACATGTGCCAGGTGAGCCAGGAGCACAGCCCAAGCCATCAGGTGGGCAGGTGGGCAGGTGGGCAGGTGTTCTCTGCTGGGGGCTGGGAGAGGGCACGGGAACCTGGCTCCTCCGCCCCCAGATGCCTGGCCATCACCATCCCAGGAGAGTTGCCGTGACCCTGTCCCACTCTCTAGGGGAGGGAGGTGACCTGGAACTTCGGTCTGAAAGATGGGCAGGGGTCCTGGGGCCAGAGAAAGGCCAAGGGTGAGGGTAAAGTCAGGAAGGTGGCAGAGCTGGGGGGGCCCCTCGGTGGCCCTGGCTGTCCCCTTGGCTGGATTGGGTGTGGCCAGATCTGAATCATGTCAGGACGCCCCAGTTGCGTTGGGAAGGGCCAGCAGGGTGGGTAGGGAGGAGGGATCCAGGCAGGAGGAAGGTGGAGGGCTGTGCTGGACATGGGGAACAGGGGCAGGGACTCCAGAGCTGCCCCGGCGTCCGTCTGTGTGAGAGGCAGAACCAGGGGCATGGTCTGGCGAGACACTGAGTCAAGCCTGGGCGTGCACAGGGGGAGTGTGGGGATCCCCCGGGGACAGCCAGCACCAAGGCACAGCTGCAGGAGGCCCCACAGGCCCTGGGGACGGGAACCTCTGGGGACCCCAAGGGTAGCACATGGACAGGTCAGAGGTGGCAGAGAGGAGCTGAGTTGGGGGTCTGCAGAAGCACAGGGGTCCCCTACCCTCCTGGCCCAGGTATGGCCCTCGGGGCTCCCCTGGTCGGCATGGCCACCCGGGACACTGCCTGGCCTCTGCTGGTTCTAGTGTGGCCAGCACATGGTCCAGGCAGGAGTTAGAACCGGACCGGGAGCCAGCCTGACACTCAGTCTCCAACCTGGCGGCCTGCAGTCTCCTCTTTCGGGCCAGGCGGACGGCCCACACAGAGCCCAGCCTGGCCACACACGTGGCCGGCTCTTCTGGTGACTTCAACAGGGTCCTTCCTGGAGGGGACCTCTCTGGAGGGCCGTGACACCCCGGGGAGGGGAAGGTCACAGAGTGCTGAGTGGCTCAGGGCTGTGGGAGTCATGGAAGTTTCCGGGCAGAACCAGAACCAGAGGCAGCTGCCAGTCGGGCACGTGGCTGCCCTTGGCGCGGCAGGGACGGGTGCCTGAGGGAACCCAGCCAGGGAAGGTGGCCAGGGACAGGCCCCGGTTCCCCTGACTCACACCCAGGCCCAGGCTCACCCTCCCCAGCCTCCACTGCCTTCCGCAGAAGAAGGGAGACCACGGCCCTGCTCGGAGGGTGAGAGTGGGGACCCCTGAGCAGCGCGTTTCCTCTGGGCTGTCCTGCGCCCAGGAGCAGGCCGGGCCCAGCCGAGGCCTCCCAGGGCCCCTGCCCACATCCCCCTTGCCTGGGCAGCCGATGGTCTGGGAGCCTCCCTGGACGCCTGTCACAGAGGGTCCTGGACCTGGAGGCCACTGCTGCTGAGCGCTGGCCCCTCTCCCAC